TTGTGTTGTCTATAATTGGTATCTTCATGGGATCACTCTTCACATGGAAATATGTGGAATCTGAAAATATTCGAAAAAGTTATGCTACGACAACATGTCTAGTAGTAAATTATACGGTATATGAGCATTCATGTGCAGTCTGTAATTCCCATACTTGTGCTGCTACTAAATGTTTGGGTGGACAATCCGTATTAGAATATTCTATTACAGATGGCACTTACAGAATGAATACGTTCACAAGGGCAGATGACGTATATACAGATGAAAAATCACCGGTACAGTTTAATATTATTATATAATTTATATTCTTTTTTTGTATATAGATCGGTTCCAATTTAACTTGTTATTATGATCCTGCAGACGTTGATTCAGTAATTTTAGAACTTCCCGATTCAAAATCTGTGCTAAATTATGCATTCGCTGCTTTTGGAATATCTGCAGTGTCTGGAATATGCGTTTTGTTAATAATTATATACGTAAGCTTTTCTTTGCTATAACGATAAACTAAAATGAACCATGTTGTTTAAATTTTAGAAAGAATGGGCGGACAAATCCAAGAACACTAAACAAGACAAGGATCATGTGGAGCTCGGTGAATTAATGAATACTTCAACAAACTAATTTCATATATTGACAATTTCTATATCATATCTAATCTCGCTGATTTTTTTTTCGTATAGTTTTTATTTATATATATATATTATTCAAGAACTGTCTATGTTGATGGTCATATATACTGTCATTTCGCTTTGATCGCTAAAAAAATATTATTAATGAAAACATTATTTCTATTCTCTTTCCTTTTATCTGAAGCATAAAAAGCTGTGCTTTTTGTGCTTAATTATCTTTTTTTCTTTTTTTCTTTTTAATGTTCGTTAAAGTTTGTATTCAAAATAAACAAGAAAAGGCATAATTTTTTTTCATAATAAAAAACTTCTTATCAAAAAATTCAAACTTCTTTTGATTTAATATTTACGAAGTCTATGAATAGTAGTTGAATACAACATTTATTCCCAAGACTATGACATGATAATCATTTTACGATCAAAAATGAGTAAGCTAGGTAAAAATATGCATCATTCAAAGATGCAATCATTTAAAAGAAAAACAAGAATATCGATAGGTGCATACTTGATGTGGGAAAAAATCAAGACAAAATATTATAAAATATGAACCACATTTGTCGATATAACTGAAAATGTCATGCGTCTGGGTTTTTTTAAAACTGTCAATGCAATGGCGCCAACGCATATGTCCTTACATATAAACATGTAAGACTCAGTCGACCAAATCAAGAATACTTGATCGATAAAAAACAATAATTCTTTATGCAAACAAATGAAAGAATAGCGTCATCACATGAAAAGTCAAAATAAACTAAAGAAAAACAGATTAATAAAATTGTTTCTAATGCACATCCATTTTTATTTTCGTATAATTAAATGACTAGTCGTTGGTGGGGGAAGAATGATTGATTTGCATTTTTCAAGATGATAAATATTTTAACGAAAAGATTTACTACGGAGTATGAGTTGAACTAATTTAAATGAAAAAGCTAATAAAACTAATATTTTTGATCGTGAACACATATTAAAACAAAAAATATCTTTAATTTCAATAAAATAATGAGGGTGTAGGTGTGAAATATTACGCACACTCTCATTGGCTAAAGAAAAATATTGAATTTGAATTTAAAAGGAGAAAAAGAATTGTACAGTAATTAAAATAGAAAAGTTCATAGTTTAGATGAATTTTTCGATTTTATATTAGTTGAAGATTCTTGAATTTATCTAAAAACTGATTTGAAGTAAAAGATAGACATTCAGTTACAATAGTTTATTTTAAACACGCTATAAAAAAATTATTCAAAAGCGCTAATTCACTTTTTTTCTTTTCAATGATTTTTCTCAAGTAAATTTTATTTCTTCGAAATTAAATAAACAAATTGTATCATATGAATTTCATGAAAACATCTCATCGAAAAGATGAATCGATTGCCTATATTGATTTTAATCAAAATTCAATCATTAAATTATTAAAAGGTCCTGATACTCAATATAAAAATATATTGAAAGATGATAATCAAAAGTTAAATATACCAAGTATTACAGAACAATGTCGAGATAAAAATTCCTTCTTACAAATTCATGTTCGTAAGTTTACCTATCTTGATTATTAATGTTGAATAGTTAATCTATTAAATTTTAAACTGTTTATATGCAGCGCCCGCGCGAAGGGTCTAAGATTGGAGGGGAGGGGTAAAAGGATATTTAGAGCAAAATTTGCTAAAAAAGCACAAAATTTGTTCTAAATCAGCTTCCGTCGTTGAAAAAAAAAACAAAAAATTCCAATTATTGAGGGAGGGGGTGTACATCCCTTCACACACCCCCCCCCCCGCTAGCGCGGGTGCTGTTCATATGTGACAGATATCATCGCTATAAATCTACTGATTGAGTCAAATAAGAATACAGGATATAAACATCGTCTACTTTTGTTGATCAATTAAGAATGAATTTAAGTATTTAATTTTGTGATTTTTACATACAACTATTCAAATGCATTAGTTATTATTGATTATCCTCTAGTGAGCAAACGTCGTATGAATTGAATGAAAACAATATTTGACCTATGACTATATATATAATGAACTTAGATTGTGTGAATTTGAGCATAATTCTTTTCACTGAAGTCTCCTGTTTTAATTTCAAATATTTATTTGAGAGAGTTTCAATATTTCATTCAAAACCTAAATTTAATAAAGGGTGTCATTTAAGTGATCAGTAGAATAAATGGAACGGTCAGTAAATAAAATGGAATGGAAAGTAAAAAAATATAAATTTGTGCAAAGATAGTCTACTTTTCTTTTTTTTACTGACAAAAATTATATTTTTTCACTGCTACTTCTACAAAATCTACTGACCAATTAATATATTTATTGATATTTCAATTATTTTACTGACCGCAAAACATATCCCCTTTAATAAATCAAAAATAGGATTCGATATCATTGAAAACAACTATAATACAAATATTATGATTGTATCAAACACTGCGGTCAATCTAAGAACATTCTTTCTGTGCTCTATCATTAATTCTATTACAGGTCCATTAAGTGCTAGAAAACAAAAACAATTATTACGAAAACAATATCGTCAACTAACTAAACGTCGTTGTCAATCAATCAAAAATAAATGTCTTCGTTTTACATTTCCTATTACTTATCCATGTCCAGTCAAATACAAAAGAAGAAATTCAAGATCTATTCCAAGTAGTTCTTCTATGAAACAATCATTATCAAGTAATATAAATCGATTAAAATCAGCTGTTAGTATTTCATTTATTGATGATATGTCAATATATAAAAATTCAAAACAAAATTATTCATCATCATTGCTAAATAATCCATCAAAAAATAATACTACAGATAAAATACGTTCATCAAATGCATGTATAGAAAAACATTTATGTCAACTATGTGGTTCATTATTGTCTAATGGTATATGTACCTGTATTGTTCAATATTTGATTCAATTGAATAATACAAGAGATAAAGATATTCTCGTTTAACTCAATGAAAATATTTGAGAATCTTACGAGTAACAATATAATCACGTAACATAAAATGAAAGAAACAAAAACAATGATATATTATGACTTGACAGGGAAAAAGAAACCAAGAAACAGTTAGAGAAATTACAATAGACAACAAATTTTTGTACGTTTTTCTTTTGCTTGAGTTAATACTGGTGGTTGATGATTAATAACAACAACAGCTGGATCTTCACCATTATATAAACCATTCGTTCCTTGAGATGTTTGAAGTGCAAATAGTTTTGTTACAGCTGTATTGCTTACAGTTGGATTACTTGTACTTACAGGACCACCACCACCGATACTATTTTTTTTGGTTCGACCACGTTGTTTTTTCTTATTAAAAAGTTCTTTACTTTGTGACTTACTCATTGGATCCGACTATAATAAAAACAAAATTGAATTTTTTTAGAGAATTCACAAAAACAAAAGATTAGAGAAGAAAATTAATTTCTAAACAATATCACTCATTCGATCAAGATTATGTGTAGGGTTTATATTCTGTGATGTATATGGAATAAGTAATGGTCTATACTGAGATTCAAAACAAGATGAACTATGTCGTTTAACAAGTCCACGTTTTTGTTCTGATGTTAATAAATTTTGTTTATCTATTGGATAACTAAATTTTGAACGTGATAATGATGTTGACAATGTATTTGTCATACGAGGCTTTGCAAAAAGACATTGATGATAAGCTGAACAATTCGAAGTTCTATGTGTTTGAAGTGAATGTAAAGATGATCTCATAATAGTAGTAGTTCCAGGTCCAGTAAAACTACTTATAGAATCTCTTAATAGAATATTTGCATGTTGTGATTGATGTAAAACATGTGAACATGCACCACCATTTGAACAACTTAATTCATTTTGATGTCTTGGTTCGACATATGTCCAATGAAATATTTTAGATAAACATTCATAAATAAATTTTTTTAATTCACGACGAAATAATTCGCCTGTAAATGTATATAGATAAAATCCGCATCCATGATCAAGATATAATAAAAATCTCATAATACCATCTAATAAAATTAAATATTTTTCATCATAATTTAAATATGGTTCAATAACAGAAAAAACACGTAATGGAAATGTTAATAATAAAAAAATTAATGTTGAAACAAATAAAATATATGCTAATTGTGTATCACGTGGTGAACGTGTTTGTCTTACACCTAATTGTTTCATTAAAATACGTGATTTACAAACTGAAGACATAACAGTTGTATTTGCAAGTAAAATAATAATAAATGGTATTAAAGAATTTAATAAGAAATCCATTTTAGAAAAATAATAAATCAAAAATGATTCATAGGTTTCTTTTGATAAACGTGTTAAATTTGAACTACACATAATAAAGAAATTTTTGTTTGTTTTATTATTTCCTAAATCATTGTTTTCTTCTTCTTGTCTTGAACCAAAATATATTAAATAATGTATATTAAGAAAAAATAATATAATATAAAGTAATATTAATGTACAATATGAATGTTTACGACTAAAAACATTTTGATTCCAAACATAACGTTTTGTAACAGCAGCACGTTCAAGTGATATAACACATAAAATCCATACAGCACAATGAGAACAATAACTTGTTAGAAATTTATATGTTCGACATAAATATAATGAACGTTGTAAAAAATAGGATTGAAATGTATAACGTATGATAAGGCGAATACAATTTAATGTAATCAATATTAAATCCTAGAAAATGACTAAAGTAATTTTTGTGTGTAACAAAAAAATATTAAACTTTTATTTACCATAAAACTTTCGGCAACAAATAATATTGAACAACCAAATTTTTGAAATTTTTTTCGGGTAAATATAAATATTGTTAATAATGAACCAATAAAACCAAATGGAAATAATAACCAAGGATATATACGATGAAAATTTATAATAAATTTAATCACAGAATCATTGGACATATTTGATGAGATTGAATAAAGTTCATAATATTCAAAATGTTCGATATTCATTATGGGTTTTTTTTAAAACTATATCTGATCTTATATCTAGATTAGTTTTAGATCTTATTCTTTGATTAAAAAAATATATAAGACTTATTTAATCGCCTGACGATTTTCTATTAGAAAAAGTTCTTGTCATTTTTTCACATATGTAGGAAAAGGTTTTGGATAAATAAGAGGTCAAAGTATAACGAAGAAAAAAACCTATCTACAGTCATGTTAATTATCAGGAAAAAAACGTTTTTTGATATACAAAACATGCTCGTCTCCTTCTTCTTACAGACAAAGAATCTACACTGACAACGAAAATAACAACAAAACACTGATGCCATCATGTCCTTCTTAATTACTAAGTAATAGTAACTCAATATATAGATATATACATGAGTATATGAACATGTCTTTTTGTCTTTTTCTTTATATTCTAAGCTTATATGTCAATGACGTTGTCATTAGATTTTCTTGTCTACAAGACATTTTTTTCTTCTTGTCTTATATTAATCAGTTAATACTATTCGTCCATTCATAGGACGTAAATAAGAATTAAGAAAAACGTTGATTATTAATATTCTCAACATGTAGTTGATCAGTTTCCGATTAAAAAATATTTGTTGAATCTCATAGACATTTTTTCCTTTTCCGAAGTCTAGACAAGAAATAATGAAAACTTACTAATATAGTATCGCCAGCAATTTGATCGGATTTTAAAATTTGATTAGATTCATCGTATAAAAATGTTGACTCTTTTGGAAAAAGTAATGGTTTGGGTTTTATTGGTAATAGGATATTATTTGGATCACAAAATGCTAAAATTAAAAAAAATAATTAAAAAAAGTAATTAATTGAAATTTAAAAATATACTTTGATTGTGACGTTGTGGCATCTTTGTAACTTCACCAGATGGAATATTAAAAAGACTTAACATAGCAACACAAGATGTATTTTGTAAAATTGCTGCATAACGTGCTAAACAAAAAAAAAGAGATTGAATTTATATAATTGATTGATTGACTTATACCTCCACTTTGTGATACAAGTAATTTAATGAGTGTATGATTAAAATGAAATGCAGCTATACAAATACCAGTTAAAGTTGACCATGCTTGAAGAAAACCATCTTGAGATGCTATAAATGAAATAATAGTAATAATAATAATAGAGAATATATATTTTACCGGTTATTGCAATATTGCTATCAATAGTAAATGAGACAGTAACGATTGCATTTTTATGTCTTGTAAGCTTATGTACAACAGCACCTAGAAAATATTTAAAGTTGTTTTGTAATCAAGTATTTCAACAAAAAAAAATAACAATTAACGGATATAAGAAGTTTCTCGTCCTATAATTAACTCAGTCAGTTAAATAACAGATTAGCTATCGTAGTTCACAATAGTGCAATTCAATGAATGGAATACTAAGAAGGTTTGGTTGTATTTTAACGAGTACATTATATAGGTCAAGGATAAAGTTTATGACATATTCTATGTTATGATAATGATTTAATTAAAATAACAATTAGAGAACAAAATAATTTACCATCTTTGAATGACCATATAAGAGCGTGACCATCATTATCACCACTAAGAACATGTTTTCCATCTTCACTAATTGCAACAGCCGAAATTGAATGTTCATGTTCAACAAGAACCTTACAATAAATAAATAAATTTTATTCTTCAAATTTTCGAAAAAATCAATTTTACTTGTGTAAGTTTTCCTGATGCTAATTCCCATAATTTACAACTAAAATCTTCACCTCCAGTAATTAAATATTGTGAATCGGCTCGAAATGCCATACAAGTTATTTTTCCTTCTGTATGATCTATTGAACGAACAACACGTGCATCATCCAATGACCAAATTTTTAAACTAAATTATATTCATTAAAAATTTCAAATAAAATTATAAAAATAAAACTTATTTACAGATGATCTCCATTTCCTGATACAACATATTTACCATCAGGTGATACACCAAGCATTTTACATGGTATATTATACTAAAATAATAAGTATAATAGATTTATTCTATATTATAATGTATTCCTTACTGAATCAATTGGTTCTCCTGTATTTGCCCACCATGTTTTAATATAATTTTGTTCATCACTTGATAGAATCTTTCGATTATCTTCTAGTATTCGTACATGTGCTATTGGTGCTGTATGATCCTAATTAAAATAAATATTTTTAGAAAAGAAAAGTTTATAATTATATATATTCACAGTAAATTCTGCAACAATTTCTCCCATTTCATTATCATAAACTTTAATTGTTGTATCTTTTGATCCGGATAATGAAAATAAATATGAATGTGAAAGTGCGACTTGTGTAACAGGCCCTTTATGATCAGTTGTACGTTCAGTAAATTCTCCATCAATCAAATTAAATAATCGAACACTACCAGCTGCACAACCAGCTATAGCAACATCACCTTCACGTGATATCGATAATGCTGTAATAGCATCTGGTGATGACAATGGATCAGTTGTTTGAAAACCATTGGATTGTTGTTTAACATTTAAAACATGTATTGCATTCTTAAATAGAAGAAAAGAATAAGATTTTTAGTTTATTATGAATATTCAATTTACTTCAGCTGCAGAAAAAAGAAAATAATCATCCATTGATATATTAAGATCAGTAATAGCTGAATCATGATGTGTTAATGTTCGAAGAAGAATTTGTGAACGTAAATTATAAACATATATATGTCCATCACTACAACCAACATAACAACATATCGAATCATTTGATACTGAAAGACTTGTCACTTCAGATGAATGTCCTTCAAGATTATGTATATCACTTCCAGTAACAAGTGATTTAACTTGAACTGTTTTATTATCACATGAAACTATTATAAATGTATCATCAGTAGATATAATCATATGTGTAATTGGTGAGCCAACTGTATCAATAACATCAAGTAATTGCATACCACGAAATGTCCATCGTTTTATAGTTTGATCACGTGAAGCTAGAAAATAGAAGAATGAAATCTTTGATTTTATTATTGTATTATAATAACAAACCAGAAATTAATAGACCATCATCTTGTGTAAGTGCAACAGCAGTGACAGCATCTGTATGTTGTTCAATTGAATGTTCAATTTCACCATTGTCCGAACGAAATACAATAATAAATCGATCACGAGATCCAGTTACAATTTGTTCATTATTATGTGAAACTGTCATACAAAGTACTTCATCTTGATGAACACTAAATAAAAATTCTTCAAATTATTTTTTCGATGTCAAAAAGATTTTCTTACCAATAACTATTTTCTAATTCTCCGGAATTCAAATTAAATAATTTTATAGTACGATCTGTTGATGACGATACTAAATATTTATTATTATGTGTTAATTGTATAGCTGTAATTTGTGATGTATGACCTAAAGTAAATAGAAAAATTCGTTTTCTTTTATCTTTCTATTTCAATAATATTATACCGGTAAATTTTTTAACAAGTTTTTTTGATGGTATATGATACATAGCTATTTCATTTGCACGTGTTGTACAAAAAACATGTTGATTGAATGTTGTGGGTGCTATTTTAAATGCTCCATCAGCACATGGTAATACAGTTATAGTCATTGATGGTACTGTTGATATCCATGAAGATAATGGAACAAATACTGATGCACTAGATGAATCACACCAATCATGTGCTTGAGCAAATAAGACTTCAATATGTTCATTATAATGATTTTTTATATTTTTTAAACGTAAAATCATTTCACCAGCCAGTAAAACTGGATCATATGAAACAATATGAATTATATTTCTTAATATTGTTTGTACGAGAAGAACGTCAGCATCGAGAATATTACTACAAACTATATCGATTTCCCATAATAATTGTTCAATCGATGAACCATGAATTTTAGCTAATAAATAGTCAAAACAACATAATGTATGTTCTTTTAAACGATCAATATCACCTTTAAGAAAGAAAAAACAATAGTTATATAGAAGATTATAAAGCAATTTTATACCAGAATGCATCAATTGATACCATAATTCACCTAATCGTCGATAATTATATGCTGTTTCGGAATAAAGAAGTGGTTGTTGTAAGACGAAACGACGTGCATTATCTCCTCTATAAAACAAATTTTTTTATACAGCGAGATCAAATATCGATCAATTCAATCCGTCAAAAACAAGGTTCATAAGTAACATAGTAGGATTCTCGAATTTTGCTAATGGCGAAAGTCTTATTAGCGAAGAGACAGTAAGCCAATATAGTTAGAATTAAAATCAGCTGCAAGTTTCTTTTTTCGAGATATAACTGCTTTTGAAGGGTGAGGTTAAGCTGATCCAATGAGTATTAAATTATTCTAAACTTAGAATGGCTATATTGAGAATAAAAGCAGTAGGAATTTTGCTTGAAGAGAAGCTGTAGGTATATTAATAAACAACAATTTCTTTATTGCTTAAAGCTAAAAGCTATATTTTCTTCAAAGATTCTATTATAGTGATCTACACTAAGTAGCCCCTAGATATAATTACTTATTTTACAAAATATGAATATTTAACATAAAGCAATTGATATGTGCGAATAAATATTATCAAATACCTGATTTGAATGTTACGTCCCATGTCGACTAATGGTTTTGATTCGATGAAAGATTCCAGAAAATAATTTGAAATATCTCGATGTGAAATACGAATATCTTCAACTCGTTTTAAATATTTTTGTTTCATATGTCTTCGAATAAATGAATGACTCCAACAAATAACAACTTTTAAATCAAAATATCTTATTGATAATAATGGACCTAAATCAATATATTAACATAATAAACAAGATTTTTTCAATCATATAGATATATTACCTAATGTATATTTAATAGCAATCCATAATGATGATGGAAAACGTAAATATTTCGGTAAATCTTTTTGAAAATATTCTAAGAAAAATTCATTATTACAAGATAATATATCAAGTAATTCAAGTTCATGAATTGCTGCTTGTGATGAACTTATATAATTAAATATGAGAGAACATATTTTTGGACCGAATTTTCGTTCACAATGATCTATAATATACAAAAAACAATCATGTATTTGTTTTCTAATTCATAAAATATCTTACCAATATATGCATTAAGAATTTCTTCTATATTTAAATCTGTTAAATCTAATTTTTTCTTTCGTTGTGATATGTAACTAAAATAGCTTTCATTTAACACCAAACGAAGAAGAAAAAATATTTGCGATTGTTTATCTAATTGTTGATATATACATTTTGAAAGAGCTTGTAAAACTGAATCGGTTACATTTCGTTTAATTGTATTTAATTCCGATTTTATATGTAAACTTAAATCACGAATATGTATTGTTTCAATTGAAAATGGTAATTCAATAATACATTCATCTTTTTCTAATCGTTCAAGAATTTCACGAATTTGCATATCGGAATGAGGAGTTGCATGAATATTTCGACTAACTGATAATATTACATAGACCTAAAGAAAAATAACATTAATTATCAACAATCAATATCAAAAGTTTAACAAAGACATTGGTAAATTTAAATCATGTCACGCAAACGTTATATAATATATCCGTAGTGTATTCTATTACTACACAGTAATCTCATTCAATTGTTATCAATCTTGAGGATGTAGATTATTATTTGTAGAATAAAAATATTGTTTTTTTTTAAATGCACTTGCCTTTTTTGTAAAACGGAAATTCTGACATCTCTTATTACTATACGATTAACGGGAAATCATAAAAATTACGATCAACTAACTTGTGATTAGCCGCCTGAGAATAAGATAAATGATTTCCTTTTTGATAGTCCTATTACTGTTCTTTATGATAACTTAAGATTATAAATCTAGTTTTTAGAATTGAGAAAGAAATATATACTTTAGGTGGAAGTAAATGAAGTAATGCTTGATAATATGCCATTGATGCCGTATATTGACTTGTTGGTGTTCCTTCTTCAATACCATCAATTACAATAATAATTGGTTTTTGATTTTTTGATAGATTTGTTAAAACAGATAGATAATATTCTACACGATCAAGTTTATGATCATTGACTAATGGTGGTGCATTTTGAAATGAACTCATTTGTGTACATATGGATGAAAATAATTCGACAAGATTTCGTGATCTTGATGTTAAATTAAAATAACGTATTATACATTGAGCATTCTTTCCTAATGTATTCAAAAGATATTGAGCTAATTTTGTGCATAATAAAGTTTTTCCTGATGCTCGACTACCAACAATCATTAATGGATAATGTTCATTTGTATTCGCTGATAATAACCATTTTTTAAATAAATTATTATTTTCTACAAAATTTTCAAAACCTAAACATGTATGTGATGATAATTTTGAATAATATGTTAAATGAACAAGTGTTTCATTATATAAAATTTGTTCAGGACGTTTCAAATGACTTGATATTGATTGATCAATTTGACGTTCACATGCCGATTTAACACGAAGAAATATTGCTGCATTTAATGTACGTAAATAACGTTGATAATCGACATCATCTAATTGAAATTCACCATTTTCTTTCCATTGTATATTAAATATGGCTCGATTATCTTCGATTTTACTATCATTATCATCATTCAATGTTAATTTATTCATTAAAGATTCACGAAAACGTTTTAATTTTTCTTGACGAGTTTTATCCAAACGATTACTGCCCGGTAGGACATCAATATATGATTCATTGCCTTTACTTTTTTCATTTAAACCTGAGAAAAAGAAAATTTATTTTAATCATATAAAATTATTCTCTATAAATACTAAATACTATATTAAGATATTTTAATTAATTTCAAGAAGAAAGAAAAACTAGTCTACTCGACGTCATTGAAAAAACATGCAATTAAATAATTACTTATTCATGTACATAATCTTTTTTGAAAATAATTTCAATTCCGTAATAAAATATTGAAGTTAGGAAGGAAAACGGTTTATTGAATTTAAACCAAATAATCTAGTCCATGTCAGTATATCTTTATTGAAACTCTAGCAACTATTTAAAAATCCTTATGATCGTATTTCTTAAGACAATAAGCTTTTTTCTGACAGCATCATCAAGCTTATATTTTACTTGACAGACTAGTTTTTTTTTATGTATACAAATGTCCATCAAGAGTAATTTTTTTATTATTGAATTATTTTTAGCAAAGAATTAAATAATTTCTTTTGTCATTTCCATTAATCAATTGGTAACATTAGGTTAAAAATTTCTCTCCTATATTATAATAAATATTTGATTATCTCGTCTTATCTTTCATATTAAAATTCTAAGAATATCATAACTATTTGGACAGATGAACTAGATTAAATTTTGTTCGACAAGTTGAATAAAAATGTCATAATAATAGAATTCAACAGATGGAAAAAATATATAAGCTCTATGCACGAATAAACTTCAACAGGTTTTAATATAGACTTTCAAAAAAAAATTATCTACTGTTCTTTTTCTTTTCACCAATAAAAATGTTACATCACTAATTATTTATTCTATGAAAACTCAATAGAATTTAGAGAATTTCTAATCAGTCAAAAAGACATCTAAACAGGAAATACAATAGATAGACGTGCATACCATCAATTTGCCGTAAGACGCACATGCAACCGGATGAAGATAGTTTAGCTGCGTAATTGAATAGCATTTCAACGCCGGAAAGCAGTTGAATATCATGTAATGATGATGTATCATGCTTAGATTTTAAATTAGATTTTTCATGTAGAACACTGATGAATAAATCAGCTAGAGTTGTATATACATCATTCCATTCTTGACTTTCTCGTATACTTATATCATATGTTGATGATGATCGTGATAATATATTGGAAAAATCTTCATCGGGATCTTTTAATTTATAAGCAGGTGGTGATAATTTATCATCTAATAAATACCATCGTTCAAGTAATTTAACATCTAATCGGAAAAAAACGCAAAAAAAAGTTTAGTATTAAATAATTATTTTTATTTAACCTTTATTTAAATCTGATGCAGCAGTTTTTATATTATTAAAATCACTTGTTGATAATTCACTGGGTAAAACAATAGGACCATATTTATTTCCAATTAAACTCTAGAAGAAAAAAAAGATAAAAATTTCTCTTCAAAATTTTGTTTTTATCTCACCAAGAAAAATAATCCAGTTGATGTTTTATAAGCATCATGAACTTCTTTCATATATTGTATAATATGATATGGATTTCGAGATAAATCATGATCCCAATTTAAATTACAATCAATAAAATTAACATAGATACCATGTGTTAAAAAATATTGTTGTAATTTTGGTAAAGTATCTGTCATTAACATATTACGTTCATTATCGAATTCTAAATAAAGAAAAAATTTAGAATGACCTATATTTTTAAATTTGTTTTTATACCATCTTTATTC